ACGGGGTTCAATCAAAGTACATATATATATATAAACTTTGAAAACATCAGCGAACAGGAAATCTTGATTGCACCATGTAAACTATTGTTCTTATCAGGACCAGTTCACTATAAGAAGTTCAGTATAAGAAGTGAACTATAAGTTCACTTCTGGTTCTGATAAGATACTATCCTTTTTGGTAAAAGATTGCATCGGTGTATTGGTCTATCCCTTCCTGACACTTTCCAATCTTGTAGTTGAAAATATTAATTTTCCTGAATTATGCACGAGTTTGTCCCATTTTCATGTCTGAAGATCCATCTGATATTCGGTTGATTTTCCCAAAGCATTTGATCGACTTGATCACATGATCCTTCTACAAAAACTCCACCGATTTGGTTTACATATTTCAGCAGTACTTTTCATTAAATCCTACTCACCTCAACGCGAACAGTTTATGTCTTTTAACGGCTATGATTCTTTTTATTACAATCCTTCGTCTGGAGTATCTCAGACGAAGATGATTTGAAAATATATTTACCTGTCGAAACTATCGAAGACTGTAATACATTGCAACGACAGTTAGAAAATATAAAGACTTGGTGTGAAGTTGACAAACTATACCTCAATGCATTCAAATGTTAAGTAGTGTCTTATAGTAGGAAAATGTCAGTCATCGAGTACAATTATCGATAAGATAACATTTCACTGTCACGAAGTAACTCAATTAAAGCCAAGAGAATCTAGAGAGAGAGAGAGAGAACTCAATTAAAGGTCTTGGTGCATATTGTGATCAAAATTTGTCTTTCTCCAACCACATTAGATCGAAAGTAAGTGGAGCATTGAGAGTTTATGGCTTCATAGTTCGCAATTGTAGATCTGTTTCAAACATATCTGGTCTATTTACTCTTTATGAAGCCTACGTAAGGTCAAAATTAGAATATGGCTCTGTTCTATGATCTCCATTCTACAATTGCATACATTAATTGAAAAAGTTCAACGTCGTTTCCTGAAGTTTATTTATTTCAAATCTTATGGTATCTATCCTGATAGAGGTATTCCATATGAATCTCTTACCATAACATTCAATATTGAGTCTTGAATTACGCAGAAAACTTGCTGGAATGATTTTTCTGTATAAATTACTGCACAACAATGTGGATGCTATGGAGGTGTTCTCTTTTATAACTTTCTGTGTGCCTCATTTTAGAACTAGAAGTACAAAAACTTTTTACATCTGACTGGCCAGAACCAATTTGTATCTCAAGTCACCTATCTTTAGCATTTGCAATAATTTCAATTTTATTGACAGAATTCAATAGGCAGATCAGTGTTTTATACGTTTCAATTATTCAGTTTGTTACGGATCATCAGTAAATATTGCAACTCTTTTAGTTGACCAGTGAAGTATTGAAACTGAGATCTTTAATCGAAACAATTTGTAATTCATTGAATACTCAGAATACAGAATACAGAATAGTCAGAATACATAAATTCCCAACCATTCGATCAGTTCAATCAGTTCATAATATATATTTTTTGGGAATAATGAATAATTCCTTTTGCTGCTAATTATAGTAGGTAGTGCAGTTTCAAAGTATAATGATTATATTACCCTTAATATTGTTTCAGTTGTCGTATGCGGTTACGAGGGATACACTGAATTTTTCCAAACTAAGTGGCTCTACTACATCTTAGATTCACAAAGAAATTCTGGTTGTTTTGCCGCAATCTTAACAGATAAGAGAAAATCGAAGATTAAAAGAAATATAAATGTTTTCGAGGATGGATGTGCTGATCACACAACAGGATTGGGAATGGCTGCTTTATCGTTGTATTATAATTTTATTGTGAAAGAAATATTCATTCTTTGAAGTGAATATTTTCAAATCATCACCACAAATGAATAATAAAGTCAATGTGTAAATGCATCACAACTTGTTCTTATTATCGATACACTTATTAATTGATGGTAATAACTGTATGTTTTCACTTCAACTGAATTGCTAATCAAGTATAGCTGAGGCTCCAGTCAATCTAATAATAACACTGATGATTCTCAAACAAGACTCAACCTCTAACGGAAGCAAGAAACTCTTTGGAAGGTTCGAAATAGATGAACATTTCAACCTAGCAGACCACTGTTATAATATTCATGCAGTCTGTGGTTCTGGCGTTTCTGGCGTTGAATTTGGTCATTATTACGCTTTGGTCAAAGAAGAAACGGACTGGTTTAAGTTTGACGATAGTCGTGTCACGAAGTGTTCTGGCGACGCACTGAATTTATTGGAACCTCTGGAGACACCCTACATTTTGTTTTATAAGAGAGAGGACATTGTTAGATCAAGATCTTCAGATGATGTGGTGCTGCAGGTTTTTCCGGGTTTTCCTGCAGCTGAAAAAGCAAATGCGCCACTGGAATCAATGAAGTCGCCCCGGAGCGCCAATTAATTTTTATTGTTGTTTTTATTTCATTTTTATCTTTGTTTCAGGAAAAAATATGGTGTTATAAAGTATGTTATGAAGTGAACATTTTTATAAACTTTTTCCGACAAGTCAAGGTTCAAAATCTGTATCGGCATCATTACCAACTCTGTTATTATTGGTGCTACGAATTCGGGTAAATGGGAAAACTAGTAGCCTTTTTGATGGCCTTCTCGATGCCGAAAACAAAAAAAATACAGTGGTGTTTCAAAAATATTTCATGAAATGATATTTTTTCAAGCGAAAGACCCTATATATCATTATACAGTTCGATTCGTAATAACATCCTCATCAACAAAGCTCATATCACCCTTCTTCCTGAAGTTGAAAATGAGCGAATTATGTGAAAATATTCATTCATTACACTAGTACAAAAAATTTTTTTTGTTTTGGCGAATAAAGAGCTATAAAATATTCAATAACACCGCCTTTAGGTTAAGTTGTAAAACAGCCTCGGCTGAACATCGGCCTTTCATTGATTTTAAATCTACTTTTTCTTTATAAAGCCCATCTAATCAAGAGAAAAACAACCAAGCCACAAATCGAAACGGCCAAGCGCTCCATGCGCATGTTGACAGGCATGAATATCTGCTGTTGGGACCAGACGAGCCTACGTACTATCGCGGGCAGACTAGGTCTGACGTACTAGACATCGCGCTTCTCAGAAACGTCTCTCTGACTAGCGAAATTTACATTCTGTCGGAACTGGACTCCGATGATAATCTAGTAATCCTGGTATTGGGCGATGATCTTCCTTCTCCTGATTACCGCATGAGATCTAAGACGAATTGGGATTCACCCAGCTCGGAGAGATGCGCGCCCCTCCTGAGGCACTTCGCTCTCCTGACGAACTCGACGCGGCAGTTGAGCATTTCGAGCTTTCTGTGAATGATGCGTTTCGAGCGGCCACCTCCTGGGAGGAGTGTCCGCAGAGGAGCTACAATGGGTTTTCCCCTCGTATCAAAGCCATGATACGAGAAAAAAACCGCCTGAGAAGGCTCTACCAGCGAACCCTCTTCCCAGGAGATAAAATTGCGACAAGTAGGATGGCCAACCAAGTCAAGCAGGCCATCATTGATCAACGAAACGAAAGGTGGGAGGAGCTCTTGGAATCCTTTGAACCTGGGAGTGACGAGCTTTGGCGAGTCACACGAAGACTCAAGGGAAGAAGACTGCTCCCTCACCTATTCACGAAGAGCGCGGAGTGTGCTACTCCCCCGCCGACAAAGCGTTGGCCTTTGCTGACACGATGGATCGTCAGTTTCAAATTAACGTTGACGACATCGATCGCAATATTCTGCTGGAAGATGGGGTTCACCGTATCCTCAGGAAAGATAACGATGATAATATCCACTCGGCTTCTGTGGAGGAGCTGAAGGGTAACATCAGGGCCGCAAAGGCCAAGAAAGCTCCGGGGTTCGATTCAATAACCAGCAAGTTGTTGAAGAGCCTTCCGGAAAACTGCGTTGAAAACCTGCTGTATATCATCAACAGCTCGTTGACCCTCAGATAGTTCTCCAAGAGGTGGAAGCATGCGATAGTCGTCATGATCCCAAAACAGGGTCAGAACCTCCTGTTCTCGCAGAACTATCGCCCAATCAGTCTGCTCTCGTCGGCGGCTAAGCTGGCTGAAAGAGTTGTTTTTCAAAGGCTCAACGAAGACGTTGAGGACTGAAATGTTCTGCCTGATGAACAATTTGGCTTCAGGAGAGAACACTCCATTGAGTTACAGGCACTAAGGCTGGTCGAACACACTATTCATGAGTTGAATACTAATAAAAAGTGCATATCGTATTGTTAGACATCTCGTCTGTCTTCTGCACAAATTAATCACGTTCGACCTGCCTCTGGGCCTGATCCGGTGGATTGGGTCTTTCCTGAAAGACAGAACATTTCAGGTTAGAGTAGAGGGCTCTCTGTCTCTCTCGCTGGAGTTCCAAGACTCAGACGATAACCATAAGAAGATTGAAATCTTCTTCGGCCAGAAAAGTGAGAATCTCTGGAAGGAAGATTGACTGGCAAGCGCGGGTAAAGTACCTCGGTCTTCTAATAGACCGTAAGCTCACTTGGAACCCCCACGTCATGCGCGTCAAAACAAAGATCGAGGGTCGGATAGTTAGTCTGTACCCTCTGATCAACAGGAAATCCAAAATGAGCCTCAAAAACAAAATTACCATCTACAACACGATGTTCAAGCCTGTCATCATGTATGCTTCAGGCGCCTGGGGACAAGCGGCTACGTATAATATCTCCACTCTGGAGATATTGCAAAATAAGTTGATGAGGATGATTGTGAATGCTCCTTGGTTCGTGCGGAATGAAGCCATCCGCAGAGATTTGCAGCTACCTTCCATTTGGCAGTCCATTCAGTCGAGAAATCAGCGAGTTTTTTATTGAAAATCCTTTAGTCAGGGAAGCTATGGATTATACTGTAGACGACCTCAGAGAGTTTCAAAAAGTCTGCAGGCGAAAACAAAGAGAAGCCTGGAGAGCCTATTGTGAGGCAGTCGAAGATTTTCCACTAGCTTCTAGGCTACAGAAGGCACTCTCAAATGACCACTGTAAGACTATTGGCATCCTGACGAGGGAAAATGGCGACAAAGCCGCCAACCTCCAGGAGAGTGCTGAGATTCTTATGGAAACTCACTTCCCAGGTTCTGTCTT